ACACTTATATAGCAGTCATGTGAAAAACTAACTATATTTCCTTTCATCCTATCCCACCCCATTTGTTCTATTCTCTCTTTTGACACTGTCCCTCCTCAGAAGTGTTTGCTTCTGATTACCACCCCCATCTGTCCTCCCCTCTATCATCCCGCCCCTTACCCCCTTCCCCTCTATTTCCCTGTAGGGTTAGATAGATTTCCATACCCGATGGAGTGTGTGTGTTATTCCCTCCTTAAGCCAAATCCGATGAGAATAAGATTCACTCATTCCTTCTCACCTTCCCTTACTTCCCCTCCACTGTAAAAACTTTTTCTTGTCTGTTTTATGTGAGATAATATACTCCATTCTACCTCTGCCTTTCTCCTTCTCCCAGTATAATCCTCTCTCACCCCTTGATTTTATTTTTAGATATCATCTCTTCATCTTCAACTCACCCTGTGCCCTCTATCTACCTACCTACCTATCTATCTATCTATCTATCTATCTAGACATATATATATTTTCCCTCCAACTGCCCTAATACATGCAAAGGTCTTATGAGTTACAAATATCATCTTTCCATGTAGTAATGTAAACAGTTTAATTTTAATAAGTCCCTTAAGATTTCTGTTTCCTATTTACCTTTTCATGCTTCTCTTGAGTCTTGTATTTCAAAGTCAAATTTTCTATTCAGCTCTGGTCTTTTCATCAAGAATGCTTGAAAGTCCTCTATTTCACTGAATGTCCATTTTCCCCCCTGAAGGATTATACTCAGTTTTTCTGGGTAGGTGATTCTTGGTTGTAATCCTATTTCCTTTGATCTCTGGAATATCATATTCCAAGCCCTCCAATACTTTAATGTAGAAGATGTTGTGTTATCATGATTGTGTTTCCACAGTACTTGAATTATTTCTTTCTGGCTGCTTGCAATATTTTCTTCTTGACCTAGGAACTCTGGAATTTGGCTATAATATTCCTAGGAGTTTTCCTTTTGGGATCTCTTTCAGGAGGTGATCAGTGGATTCTTTCAATTTCTATTTTGCTCTCTGGTTCGAGAATATCAGGGCAGTTTTCCTTGATAATTTCTTGAAAGATAATGTTTAGGCTCTCTTTTTGATCATAGCTTTAAGATAGTCCAATAATTTTTAAATTATCTCTCCTGTATCTATTTTCCAGGTAAGTTGTTTTTCCAATGAGATATTTCGCATTGTCTTCTATTTTTTCATTCCTTTGGTTTTGTTTTACAATGTCTTGATCTCTCATGAAGTCACTAGCTTCCATTTGCTCCATTCTAATTTTTAAGGAAGTATTTTCTTCAGTGAGCTTTTGGACTTCCTTTTGCATTTGGCCAATTCTGCTTTTGAAGGCATTTTTCTCCTCATTGGCTTTTTGGACCTCTTTTGCCATTTGGGTTATTCTATTTTTTAAGGTATTATTTTCTTCAGTATTATTTTGGGTCTCCTTTAGCAAGCTGTTGACTCTTTTTTTCATGATTTTCTTGCATCACTCTCATTTCTCTTCCCAGTTTTTTTTCTTTACTTCTCTTACTTGCTTCTCAAAATCCTTTTTGAGCTCTTCCATGGCCAGGGACTGATTCATATTTTTCTTGGAGGCTTTGGATGTAGAAGCTTTGACTTTGTTGTCTTCTTTTGGTTCTATGTTTTGATCTTCTTTGTCAACAAAGTAAGATTCTATGGTCTGACTTTTTTTTGTGCTGTTTGCTCATGATCCCAGCCAATTACTTGAGTTTTAAACTTTTTGTTAATGTAGGGGTCTGCTTCCAGTGTAGAGAATATACTGTCCCAAGCTTTGGGGGTTTTGTGCAGCTATTTTCAGAGATACTTCTAGGGACCTGTAAATTTTCAGTTCTTCCTTATGATCAAAGGTGAGGTGTTTACTCCTTTCCTGGCCTGTTATCTGGTCTGTCATTGGCCACAAGCACTCTTTTCTACCTTGGAATGAGGGGGATTCCCTCTCCACTGCCACCACAAGCTCCACCGTGCCAGTACTCCTCCTTTCCTCACGACTGCCACCTAGAACTACAACGCAGATCCAAGCATGGGCAAAGCAAGAGAATTCTACCTCAGCACCAGCAAAGAGATCCCTGCAATCCCCTTCTGATCAGCTGCTTGATTGCCCCCTCTGTCTGTGGGCTGAGTCCCCCTGGAAGCAGCTGCCTCCAGGACTGGGGCTGGGACTGTAGTATCACTGTAGTTGATAGAACTTTCCTACTGACCTTCTAAGTTATCTTGGTGTTTGTGAGTTGAGAAGTCTGGAATCTGCCACAGCTGCCTGTGATTCAGTCCCCTGAGGCTTACTCCAGGATCCCTGAGGCCTGGTCTTTGCTGGTGTGGCCCATGCTGAATTGTGCTCCTCTCCCAGCCTGGCACAAGAGACCTTTCCTGCTGACCTTCCAGGTTGTCTTGGGCTGGAAATTGGTTTCACTCTGTCTTTTTGTAGGTTCTGCTACTCTAGAATTTGTTTAGAGCCATTTTTTACAGGTATTTGGATGGGTTTGGGAAAGAACTCAAGCAAGTCACTACTTTTACTCTGCCATCTTGGCTCTGCCCCCTGGTGGGTGATTTTTACAAAGGATAAACACTCTATCTACATGACCCATGGCCAGCCATATTAGATCACAATGGTCTCATTTTATGCTTATAATAATCCTATGAGAGAGATGCTACAGGTCTTAATATTTTGACTTTGCTGATTAGGAAGCAGCCCGAGAGAGATTAAGTTATTTACTACTATTATATGGTTAGTTAATTATTTAAAGCAGGATTTGAATCCAGGTCTTCCTGACTCTAGACTGTTAGAGTGGAAGGAGACCTTAGAGACCATGTAGTTGATCATCATAATTTAAAAGATAAAAAAAATTGAGGTTCAGATAAATGAAATGAATTTTGTGGCTAGATCACAGGTGCCCTAACTCCAAGGAAAGCAAAAGCTAGCTAGCAAGAAATGATTAGTAAACTAATCTTTTTTTTTCTTTGAGAACTGTGGCTTATCTTATATCATGGTTTTAATATGAAGAGATAAAATGAGTTTTAGATCTTAGCTATTTATATATAATAATAAAATATTTTACTGGACTGTACACAACATGAAGGCAGTTACTGTGACTTATAAAAATTTTGTATTTCCCCTTTGAATATTTTGCAAACAATAGGCACTTTATAAATATTTTTGAGTTAAATTAAAAATGTCTTCATCCTAAAACACACTACTTTGTCCTTATTTTGAAGTTGCTAAACTTTTCTAATTTGCTAGTTAATGTAACACAGGTGTCACTCATCTCTGGAACCTTTTGTTATTCAAGTTCATTGTATGATGTTTTGAGTAATCATAATTATGTAGATATGGTTCAATTCTCTAATCTGGTTCACATTGTGTTATAAACCAGGCAGAACCTGTATTTCTAATCACAAACCATTTAATTAAGATATAATAGGAAGGCAAGTCATGAGGCCAAATAACTAGGTAAAAGAATCATTCTTAACCTCCTAAATAGTTTTGTATAAATCTGTCTTCCTGAAGACACTTCATCAATCATAATCCTTGCCTAGAGTCCCCACTAGTCTCCAGCCATTCAGAGAGCCTCCTTGAAATGGAGCCAGAGAATTTCTCCTGAAGAGTAATGTTCTCATTTTCCCAAGCATCTTGGGAAATGAAGTTCTAGAGGCTCTTCTCTACACTAAAATTCCTCACAAGTTTAAGCTGAAATTTTGATTTTAGATTGAGTATATACACTAAATAGAGAAGTCTTGTGCAGTTGCTCTTAAAAAATGCTCAATCTCCTAACTGAATTTTCACTGACTATCCCTTATGCTTAGAATTCTCTCCCTCCTTGTCTACACTTTCTGGCTTCCATGGCTTTCTTCAAGTCTCAGCTAAAATCCTATCTTCTGAAAGAATCCTTTCCTGGTCACCCTTAATGTTAGTGTTTTCCCTTAGGTTATCTCCAATTTATTCTGTCTACAACTTGCTTGTACTTACTATTATTGTTGTTATTATTGTTATTATTATTATTATTATTATTACATTTTGTATCCCGAATTAGATTGTGAGCTCATTGAGGGTAAGGAAAAATTTTGCCTTTCTTTTTTAGTAGGTACTTAATCAGTGCTTGTTGACTTGATTTATTAAGAAATTAGAGACCGTGATATTTTGCTTTTCTGTGACACTGTGTCCAGTGTCACACAGGTGTGTATCTATGCCCTAGTTTCCTAATGTTTCAGATGGAGATAGAATATCTTTGGCCTGTTTCATTGGATTATTGAAAGGCTCCAATGAGATAATGGGTATGAAAGCCCGCTTGGAAATATGGAATGCTTATATGAATGGAATGCATTGTCATTATAAGAGAATGGTTTAATGCCAGAGATAGAAACTGTTTACCCAGAATTAACACATTTTTCAAAATACCTACAATATAAGATGACAGACAAAGCATTTAATCTATCTCTGCTAAGAGATGGGGACACAAAAAAAGCAAGCAAGATAGTCTTTGTCTTCAGGGAACTTACATACTAATGGAAGAAGAAAATACATAATGGGGAGCTGGGAGGTAGGAAGAGGAAAAGTACTATGATCTCAGAACATAATGAAAATGGTACACCCTGGTGTGCAAAATACTAACTTTAGGTGGTTAGTGCTGCCAATTCAAAGGGATCAGGATAGGAACTACATCTTTGACTTATTACTATAGAGTATTTTTAGATGAGGAAACTATGTACTGATGGAGTATTGCTTATAGTCTACTGATGTGTATGGTCTACATATACTTTATTGATGCAGTAGTGCTTACAGTCTTAGAGAATTGTGCTGAAAGACTGCCTTGCAGCAGAGTTTTTTGCAATATTGTTGGAAAAGAGAGATGCATTTCCTTTAAAGGATCTCCTCTTTAATAAGCCTTATAGATTATCTAAGTAATATTAACTAATTATCTAAGTAATATTATTTAAGTAATTAAGTAATATTATCTAGGTGATATTAAGATTAACGTCCTTCTCTTGCAGATTCCTGTGCTTCTCAACTTGAGCCAAGATCCCGAAGTCAGTCTCCCTGTTAAGCCGCTCATCTTTTCGCTGGCCATAGGAGCCTGCCTTGGAGGTGAGGAGGCTTTTTTATTGCATTTGTGGGAAAAGACATATTCCAAAGTTTGCTTTAGTCACTTCTACTGTCGACTGGAGGCAGCTAGGGGTACAGTGGATAGAATGTCTACCTAGATCCAAGACTCGAGTTCAAATCCAGCCTCACGTATTTACTAGCTATATAACCCTGGGCAAATTACTTAACCTTTGTCTGGCTCGGTTTCTTCATTTGTAAAATGGGGATAATAATAGCACCCATTTCCCAGGGTTGTTTTAAGAATCAAATAAGATAATATATGTAAAAAGTGGTTAGCACAGTGCTTGGCACACAGTAGGCTATATAAAAGCTTAATCCCTTCTCTTCCCAGTTGGTAATCAAAAGTTAGTTGGCATGAAGTGGAAAATAAACTTAGAAAAGACTTTATGATATTGCTACCATGGGTAGATCATTGCATATTTGAATAAACACAAATCTAGGGATGGTAACAGTCACTTCTTTGAAGACCATTTCTGTGTATTATTTGAGAAAATTTAAAAGAACTCAGGTGAAAATGAAAGTGCTCAGGAAAGAAGATGTGATGTAGGAAAGGGGGAGGAAGAGGTACATTTCGCTTGTGTGAACATGTAACCTGGGGAGCTCATTGTTACAGTCCTGAAGTCAGTTTTCGCAAAAACTATTTACAGTCTGGCATTTAGAATGAGTTCCTGAATTTGAGCCAAAGCCTTAGTTTTATTTAATTTAATTTATTTTATTTTTGAAATAGTCTCTCTTCTTTGAGACCATGGAGTAAGTAGTTGGTGTCTAGAAAGGAGTCAAGGGTGACACAATAGTGGGAAATTTGAGTGATTAGAAGGATCTTGATGTGCTCAAGAGTAATAGGGAAGTTTGGAAGAGTAGGGAATTTGGAGTGAATTCTGTTCTGGATATGCTGAGTTTGAGATGTCTATGGGACATCCAATTTGAAATGTCTAATAGGGAGTTGGTGATGCAGAACTAACTCTCAGAAGAGAGACTAGGACTGGATAAATAGATCTGGGAATCATCTGCATGGAAATGATAATTGGATCTATGGGAGCTGAAGAGATAAGCAAGTTAGAAAGTATACTGAGAAAAGAGAAGAGGGCTTGGGAAAGAGCTTTGGTGGACAACCACAGTTAGTGAGGATGACAAGATCAGGATCCCACACAAGAGGCTGAGAAACAGCAGTCAGACGAGAAAAAAAGGAGAGAGTAGAGTCATTAAAACCCAGAGAAGAGGAAGTATCCTGAAGGAGAAGGTGATCAAGTGTAAGATGCTGCAGAGTCAAGAAGGATGAGGACTGAGAAAAGACAATTAGACTTAGCAATTAGGAGGTCATTAGTAACAGGAGAGAACAGTTTCAGTTGAATGATGAGGTCGGAAGCTAGATTGCCTACATTTTAAAGCAGAATTCTTAACCTTTCTTTCTTTCTTTTTTTTTTTTGTTCCAGTATATGGGTCCCTTTGGCAGTCTGGTGAAATCTATGGGCCCTTCTTCAGAATAATTTTTTTTTAATATAAAGTAAAATAAACAAAATTGCAAAGGAAACTAAGTCTATTGAAATATACTTATCAAGGTAATTTCAAAAAAAATACCATGGGCCCCAAGTTGAGAAACCAAGATCTAGAACAAGATTTGTTCTTGTGAAGTTTGGATTCAGTGAAAGGGCAACACTTGAGGACCTAGAGGGCCACATGTGGCCTTGGGGCAGCAGGCCTCACCCCTGATCTAGATCAAGCTGCTAATTTTTTTTTTAGGTGATACAAATGAAGCCTATAATAGTTTAATGACTTGCCTGAGGTCACAAGCTAGTAAGCAGCAGAACATATTTAAACCCATATTTAAACTTCAAATCCAACTGTCTTTCCACTGCACTACAACAGTCTGTGTTATAGTCCTAAGATCTGGAATAGAAAGACTGAAGCTCTTTCAGCAGAGTAATTATATAGGTTGGAAAAAAAAGATGTGGGAGAGGGGTGACAGAGATTTTAAATTAAGGATAATTCGATTGTGAAGTTTCAAGCACTATGCTAGGTTATAAGAAGGGCAAAGAAAGATTTTATTACCTATGTGTCTCTGGACAAGTCACTTAACTTCTCTGTGCCATATTTGGAAGGAGAAATGGATAAAGAAATTTGGAGACACCACTTTGCCAGGACCACGTTCAAAGACAACAGAGTTTAGTTTTACTCTTTTGTTCCTTTGACTCCTGATTGGCTGATTGTGTACTCCAGTGCATTTGTGGAGATTCATTTAGCAGTATCTGCTGAGGATCTTAAACAAAGGCTTTTGGTAAATTGCAAGCTTTTATTGTTATAATCAGGTCTTTAGGCAAGGTTTGACAAGAAAGGTATTTTTTTTAATTTGTTTGCTTTGACTTTTGTTATTCATTGGTTTATGTCTCTGACATTTGGATGAATGGATGCTTTTATTCAGTTTATCTCTTTGTTTAAAGGAGGCTGATAATGGCTATAGAAACTTAGAAATATTTCTATTAGAAACACTTCTATTTGTTTGAGATACTCAATTCAAGAATTTTTGTTGTTGAATTGTTTTAGTCATATCTGACTCTTCATGACTCCATTTTTGGGGTTTTCTTGACAAAGATAAGGTAATAGTTTACCATTTCTTTCTCCACCTCATTTTATAGTTGAGGAATGGAGGCAGAATAAATTGACTTGCTCAGGGTCACATGGTTAGTAAGCATATGAGGCCAGATTTGAACTCAAGGAGTCTATCTGATTCCAAGCCCAGTGCTCTACACACTGCATCACAGAGCTGCCTATTCAAGAATTAGAGATTTTGTTAAAACTCCTATTATCCAAGAGGTAACAACAGCAGAGATGAAGAAATACTCCTTGCAGAATATTCTCAAATAAATAAACTGCAAATGAAGAAAATGGAGCCAGGTCTGGTTCAAAATGCTCCTCCTAGCCACCTGCTGGCCCCTATCTTTGTAATACTTCAGAATCCAAAGAATGTTTGCAAGTGCCAAGTGAGTGGTTTTAACATGGGCCATTTTGTACAGCTAAGAACCTGACCCAAGTTTGATGCTACTAAACACTTGATGGTTGGGCCCATTTTGGAAACAGCTGCTCTAGGATTTATCAGCAGTGAAGTCCCCCTTTCTCAACATCTTTCCCACCTGGTGTATTTAGTCAACATATTGTAGTCCCTGCTAGAGCAGATGCAGTTATACTTGGTGATAATTCCCTCTGTTGGCAGCCCTCCTTTCTACTGGCTGAGTGGTTTGAGTTTACTCTGACCTTTGAAAATTGTACCTATTCTGAAATACCATCTACTGATTAAATTATGATTGATTTCCTAGTCAGCCTTCAAACGATGTGGCTATTCTGTCAAATTCCCATGTGTATGAAGATGGAGGGAGCTGGGCTGACTCAAAACCATTTTGTTTCCCTCTTTCTTAAATTAGTTAAGTCTTGTGGAAATAAGTCTAAATGGAATTAAATATAGGGTCCTGACAGTCACTTAGAATGGAATGTAATAACAATAATGAACTGATTTGGACTAGAATATAATAATAATATTTGATGTATATGCACATAGTGCTTTAAAGTTTGTGAAATGCTTCTGTGATAATGATATATAAAATAATATTTGAGATGATGAATATTTAAGAATGAATAGAAGAATACCCTGGAGATTAAATCAAAGCTATTATTCAGTATTTAGGATTTATTTTCCACATCTTGACCATATATGGTTTTAGGCAGTCCATCAAATATAACTTTCCACGCTGAATTTGTATAAGGGTTAAGAATAACTCAGGAGGCAGGAATCTCTATTAAAAGCTCATTTCTTTGGACATATATAGTAGCTTGAATGACAGGCTTTTTGACTTACATGTGGTAGAGCAGGTACCTAGAGTTAGTTTTCATGTTTTCTGTCAAATGGGAGGATATTGTCCTAGAAGGACAGAATATATTACCTTCAGTAAGAACTAAGAATTTGTCATTATGATCGTGTCTTGGGCAGTCATTGGCAGGGTAGACTGCGTTTTCTTTTTATAAATGTTCGTCCAAAGCAGACTTGAAAATAGTTTTAGGAAATGTACTTGTCCTGTTCACAGTTCTGTATGTTGTCTCCCAATATATACGTACCCTATACATAGCCTTAGGGCATATTTAGGTACACATGCATTTACCTGCCTATCACTTTTATGGAAACTGACAAGCTTGGAAGCAGGAGTCCTACAAGGCAGAGGGTAGAGTGGTAATTGGTGAACAGAGGTTTGTTGTTTAGTCATTACAATCATGAATGATTCTTTGTGACCCTATTTTTGGTGTTTTCTTGGCAAAGATACTGAAGTGGTTTGCCATTTCCTTCTCTAACTCATTTTACAAATGAGAAACTGAGGTAAACAGGGTTAAGTGATTTATCCAGGGTCACACAGCTAGTGTTTAACATTGGATTTGGAATTGGGAAGATGAGTCTTCCTGAGTCCAAACCCAGTATTCTTTCCCCTATGCCACCTAGTCGTCCCAGCGAACAGGGATAGTGGACTTTAATTGGGGTATATTGGCACTTGCACAAGGATAATAGCTAGCTAGTATTTACACAGCTTTTTGAGGTTTGAAAAGCCCTTTACATGTATTATTTAATTTGGACTTTACAACATCTTGTGAGGCTTTTGATATTATCCTCATTTACTGATGAGGAAACTGAGGATGGGAAAACTTGAGTAGGTTGCCCAGAGTTACAGAGCTATCTAAAAACTGTAAGGACTTTTTATAAGAGTGGCTTTCAAGGCATATTTGAACCAGATAGTAAGGATAATTTTTGACAGCTATAGGGAAGAACAGAAGTGCCTCTACTTCATAGAAAAATAAAGTTAGATAATAACAATGATAGTGCACATTTTAATAGCATTTTTAAAGTTTTCAAAAAGCTTTGGCTTTTTAGTTATTCTAGTTAGATCTCTTAACTCATGGAGATAATTACCCTAAGAAGTAAATCTCCTCTTTAACATCCATGAAAT